ACAAATGTTTAAACTCAATTATCTCGAAATGAGATAAATGTAAAAATGGGACCTTTTAATTGAAGACACTCCATATTGTAAAATTATCAGATCCAAAATTTTATATCATAATAAATATTTACATATATTCACTTTCATAAATAAATAAATTTATTTATTTAGTGTTAGTGATCAAGGCCTAAACCATCGACCAAGTTTATTTTATAAAATCGACTTAGTCGATTAATAAAACATCATCACCTAATGTGATTTTTGACCGATCAAGATGCAGGTAAACGACTTATGAAAATTTCTATTTATCTCTAAATTATTAAATTCGAGCTCTGTAAAATAACTATGAACAGTAAATAAATTTAGAACATGGTTAACTCTATTTTATTAACACTTTTTTATATTGGAACAAATTTATGTAAAAATTTATTCGTTTTTTATATGAATTTCTGAATTATTTTGTGATAAAATGTACAAATTGCTTTTTTTTTTTATATCTTAAATTATTTTCGATTTTTTCTTCCCTTCCAATGTCGTTTTTTCCCTGGCCCCATAATTGGTGTCAATCGAGATCCATTAGCTGGTGTAGCATCATCACTTAATGCGCCATTAATTGGATATAATTTAACTCTATTAAATTCTCCCAAAGCATACCTTCCCGTTGTCCTCGCTCCTAAAGACTGATTGTTAAAAAATGATTTGTCAAGTTCTCGTGATATGTCTCCTGTGATAGGTGTTGCACCATCCGATGCTACTTCTGTATTTACTGTTGAGGGTAAAGGTTGAATAATTGTCTTCTTTTTTACCGGTTTAGTATAAAGTTTTAAATCATGTATCTCCGCGTTGAATTCCTCTTTTGATATCCCCGTTGGTGGAGGGTGACAATATGGAAGTTTTCCCTGTAAAACAATGAAACAAATAACAATAAATAAATGTTAACTTTTATTAAATACTTAAATTTTAATTTCTTAAATACAATGTATACGCTACATTCACATAATCTTTCAATATATATCTTGCGGCTCGCGATTCATCGGGGCTTCCATGTCCTGATTTAGTATACCCACGAGAAACTAATATAATTCAAAAATTTTATTATAAAGTTTATAATGTAATAAAATTAATGTAAAATGCAAAGGAACAATGTTTACCTGCATAAGTCACTGTTAGTTCTTCTGCTGAAGGGATTCCTGTGCCACCTTCTTCAATTGGTCTAACCTTAATTTTAATACCATATATGGCTTCAAGTACAGCTTTTGGTATTCTTTGTGCAATTAAAGCAACAGGTCCAGTATGCTCCCGTAATTGATCAATAGGCAAAACGCCATTGCAAACCATATCACCATTTGTTGTCGCAAAATTTGGAAAAACTAATCCAGGACAATCACATAGTACCAGTGAAGGTGAAAGATGTATAGTTTGAAAATGTTTGGTCTTTCCTGGTGTTGATGAAACCGAAACTCGTTTTTCTCCAAGAAGAGCATTTATTGTAAATGATTTACCCACGTTAGGATAACCAACCAATCCTATCACTATCTTGTGGTCTTTATCGACTAATTACGAGAAAAGCATATAATATTTGTATTTAATAAATACAACGCATAATCTTTAATTTGTATGCAGTAAGGTACAGGAAATTAAATCGAACCTTCTTCTCCTCTCGCTTCAGAGATCAGCATAGAAATTAAATCTTCGGTTGTACAAATACGTTCTCGATGATCAGATGGGTCATCGATATTATGATTTTCCAAAAATTCTTGTTCGTTAGTATTTGAATGTTTCAGCAATTCATCATTATCTTCATTTAAGTTATCTGTTGATATGTCATTTTCCATGTCCGTATGCTTCTCTTGCAACGGATTGTCTTTGAAATTTTCCTATTTTAATAAATTACAAATTTAACTACATATATTAATAGTAGAGGTTTGGTAAATATGGATACCTTTTCTTCACTAATAGAAGAAATAGTTTCATTGTCAGTCTGCATATTCTGCTTTTTTTCAAGCCTTTCATGCGCCAGAATAGCCGAAAAAAAAATATAACGAATTCCTTGAGAGTCAAGGTAATCTGCCCATATGCGTCTATATTCGTAAAATTAAAAGTCAATAGAAATTTAATAAAAATAATTCGGTTACAAGACTTTAAAAATTTACTACCGTTGACGAGCTGTCAATAAGTCCGCTTTATTAATTAACAAAATGCATTTTTTCTTTTCATTTATTTCCTTTACATATTTCTCCAAATCCTCAGAGCGGAAAAATAAAGGATTTCTAGCGTCAACAATTTGTACGAGCAAATCGGATCGTTCAATCACACGCCATAATTGACGCCAAACTTCGAGATTGCGTTCAAATGGAGTAAGAAGAAAATCTTCTTGTTCTTGAAGGCTTAATAAAAATTCATGTAACACGTAACACGTTAAAATTCGATCGAATATTTAATCCTACATTTTAAAGAAACAAAGTAAAATTATTACAATGCAAGATCACGCCTCCATCGCAAGAACGCATCTCTCTCATTCCGTTCAAGCTGTTCAGGCGTAGTGGTTTTATCCCATTTTGGTCTTATAAATATATAAAAAAAATAAATAAATAAATAAAAATAATTTAAAAAATTATTATATTCACAATGGCAACAGTAATTAAAATTGATTAACGGATATCACCTCCTGGGTATTACTAATCTTTCTTTATTAGCTTCATGTCTTGCCAATGTTTCTCTTTCTTTATCAGCACTAAGAAGGAAGGGATTCTGATAGGTGTTTGTAATTATTTTGATGTTCATTTTTTCTAAGATAAATGAATATAATCTTGAATTTAAAATCAAATAGTATTATTGAAATAAATATTTGTCAATATTTGCAAAGAAACTAATTCTGCTCTTTCCGATCACATAAATTACGTTAAAATTCAGATGCAACATTCTATACAAAATATACAAATTTTTACCAGCAGTAAACTGAGTTCCCGCTAACTGAGCTGTACTTAAAAATTCGTCCAAGTCACTTTGTTGAGTTACTGATTGTAATTTGGTCCATTTAGCTCCGTCATCTAAATCTGTTGTATGCTTCAGTTAATGTGAAAAAACATAGGGAAATTAGATCCTCAAAGAAAAATGATATTTTTCATTACTAAAAAAAAAATTACCAGAACTGTATCGCCATCTTTGGGTCTGGAATTTCCTTTAAATCTATCCCTAATAATGGCCTTTCCGAGACCAGTATCTTTCCGCGATCTGGGTAGTGGCATTTTTTTTTTTTTTAAAAAAAAAAAAAAACTAAAAATTCTCGAGTTATATATGTGTGTACGAGTGCTTATTAATTTTTAGCTTATTAATTTTTTTTTTATCTCGAATGATCTACAGCTTGTATTATTGTGCATCATGTGATAGAACCTTCACATGATTAACGCGTATAAATGGTTTTTTTTTTTTTTTACGCGCAATCCCACATTTCTCACGTTTCTTCCTACAGTATTTTAGGGTGTTGCTAATTTTCCCCCCTGGTTAGAAAACTGGACTAAATAATCATGCTTGATGCATTAAGTAAAAATGTTCAGTACCTAAAAAAAAAAAACTTGTTTTAGCTTTAACTCTAATCTTAAACCTATCCTTGATTCTTATTTTAATATTATATAATTTTAGCTGGAGGGGAATTAGTTAAATTCTTGAGAATTACTATTTGTATCCAATGGGTATGATACCAGGTATAAAAAAAAATCAAAAATCATTAATATTAAAATTTACCAAAAAAATTATATGTAGGTATTGTCTGGTGCAAAAACGGATACACGAAAACTAAAAATTAATTGTCTACTTATAAAGATTTTTTAAATTTTAACAATTTATTTAAGATTTATTTACGAGTTTTATGCTAAATAAGTGTACATTATTGGGCAGACGACAAAAAATAACGGCAAATTGTTTTTTTTTGTCGGAATTAATGTCACTCCATGTGCTGCGTAGCAGCACATGAGTGAAATTAACTCCGATGAAAAAAAACAATTTGCCGTTATTTGTCGTACGTATGCCCAATAATGATGTTATCCGATAGTTAATATGACCATGTGAAGTTTTCTCCGTGATATTTTGCAAAACTGGCTACGTAATTTCATGCAAAAAATATCATGGCAAAAAAATTCACATGATCATATGAAATGTCGGATAAAGTAGGATCTAAGTTATTTTTTGATATATTTTTTATAACCTTATAGTTATTTTGTTGAATAAAATTTTTTTTTTAAAAAAATTAAATTTTAAAAAAATTTTTATTCAACAAAATAACTATATAAAGATTATATAAAATGGGAAATTATAGGCATCTCTCGCGGGAGATATATCTCCCAGAATCCTTTAAAGTCTATTTATGTTAGAATGGCATTAGATTAAGGTTAGAGGTAAGTAGAGTACATAGTAAATTTGCTCAAGGAAAACTTTTCATTAGAGCACAAAAGTAGGTTTCTTATGCGTTTTTTTGAAAAATAAGCGATTTTTTCTTTGAATGAACGTTTGTTTTGAATTTTCTTGATCGTGTTACGTTGCACTAAATTGTGGATCGCTATTGGCAGGAGATATACATCTCCCTATGGAGATATATATCTCCCGCGAGAGATGCCTAGAAGCACCCATATAAAATATATCAAAAAATAGCTCAAACGTACTTTATTTAGCATAAAAAAATCATAAATAAGTTGTTAAAATTTAAAAAATTTCCTAAGCCCATACAAACTTAATAAATTGGTTCTCATAACATAAATATTCTAAAAGTGATCTGGCAACCCGGTTTTTAATTTTATTTCAAAAAATTATATATATAAAATACATATAAAATTTTTTATAGTTTTTTTTTTTTTGAAAACTCACCCGGATAGTAAATATACTTAAAATTTTTCTTCAATTTTTTTGTAAAATTTGACCCGGCCGGTTATGAAAACCAATTTAATAAGTTTTAGTTTTTGCGTATCTACATTTTTGCACCAGACAATATTTTAAGTAAAATTGTTTAGCAACTAATTTTACATATAACCACATGTTTCTAAATCTAATTCTAACTTTATACCGGATATTATACTTTATGGTAATGATAGCAAATTTTTAAATCTATTATTTTATTATATATTTATATTTTTATTATTTCTTTATTATTACTTTGCTTCTTTTGGATTAAAATATATTCAAGCCTTTTTTTAGCTTTTTTGACTTTCTTGTTTAAAATTTACTGTTTCGGAGAAAGATTTAGTTACGCGCTTTTCTTATGCAGTCAGAAAAACTAAGCTCTATAAGCTAAAAATACTATTTCTGATGGAATAGCAGTAACGATCTTGATGGAGTTAAAAAATTTTTGTTCCTGATAGGGTTTTAAAAATGAATCCTAATCTGAACTTTTTCATATACTTCACTATAGTAGTATAGTATTTTAGAGGCCTTTTAGAACCCTATCAAGAATAGTATATTGATTTTTTTTCTACCCTATTAGGAATAGTACTGGCGATCTATGAGGAATACTTTCAACCATTTCGAAACCCACAATAAATTAAAAATACAAATATACAAATTAAGATATAGGATGTTCTCAAGCATCTTTCTCAATAAACTTAACAAAGAATCTGATTGGTCTGTTTGATCAAACTGGCCAATTAGATTCTGTGTCTAATTCATTGAGAGAGATGCTTGAGAATGTCTATAATTATTTAATTAAAGATTGATATTATAAATTTACTATAAGAATTATAAAATTAGATAAATAAACTTTGTAAAATGTTTATTAAAAACATTTTTTTACAAAATCTAAATATACTATGCATTATAGACAAATAAATATACAATCTACTGTATATATACACTAGTGTTGGTTACCAAAACCTTTTTGGCCAAATCTGAAAGTTTCGGGTTTCGGATTATAGTTTCCGAAACTCTATCCGAAACTCAAAACCTTACCTGAAACCTGAAACCTCACCCGAAACCCCAAAATCTAAAAACTTGCCTGAAACCTGAAATTTTACTAAAACTCAAAATATTTTTAAACCCCAAAACCTCACCTGAAACCTAAAAATTTATTTATAGCTGTTTTATTTGCTAAATAATTTTTTAGCCAATTTGATTAAGTTATTAATTTTGGCATAATATATTTAATATAAAATTTAAGATTAGGTGACTAATATAAAATTT